TCCTCCCATTCAGATAAAAATGTTCTGTGCTCATCTTCGTATTTGCGCTTAGCTGTACGCTTCCCTGACTCTGCCATGATGATTGACAGGCTACTAACGAAATTCACGTCAATCGTGTTAGTCTATGTTAAATCGCGCGAGAGGTTGTGTAAAAAAAAAAAATCATTTAAATACATAACCCTTTATTGAAAATTTATGTTTTGACATTTTAAAAATAATTTGCAAGTGTAAATTGTCACGCCCGGCTCCGTTCGGTCCTCGTGTGTGCCACGCCCCCTCATTATCCACATGTGCTTCCCCGATTGTGCCCAGCTGTTCCCTGTTATTTCGGCTTGTTTCGTGTATATTAGTCTGCGTCTCCCCCTGTTTGCCAGATCCGGCATTGTATTGTGACGTATTGTGTTCATGGATGTCTGCCTCGTCCCTATTAAAAACCCCGTTTGCCTGTCAGTCCGGCTCCACTCGCCTGCTTACCCGCTCGCTCACCCGCCGAACGTGACATAAACACAGAACATGTGGATAGATTGAAGAGCCGCAGGCGAGCAGTGAAAGAGCCGCAAGCGGCTCGCGAGCCGCGGGTTCGCCACCCCTGTTCTATGTGTTGAATTCTTGCCTTATTTAGCCAGATAATATGTGTGATTAATTTGGGTATGACCTGGGTATGAATCCATCCATTCTTTAAACCATTGTGAAGCTCAGCTTTCTACATAGCCTTGGGTAACATAACGTTTAAATGTCTGTGTGCTAATTAAATGGAATAATGTTATGTTTGACATTACTGCAGATTAAAGTGCAGAAATTCTGATGTCATTCTTCATAAATGACTATTTTTCTGTCCTTTATAATTAATATACAGATTTAGCTTTTAGATACAGGTTGTATGCATTCTTTACTGAAATAACTGCCCTACACAGGCAACTGTAGTAAATAATATCCCAACTCAAAGTTGTCATTCTCAGCAATCTCATGCATACAGTAACTACTTCAGTTGTTTGTATGTGTTTGCATCTAGATAATACTGACTTCATTTGTTTTTTTCTGTGACAGTGGGCCAGGTTTTTTCAGCAGGAATTGAAACCAAAAAAGAAGAAGACGCGAACACAGTGGTCAAAACAGGAGGTGACAGCTGTATTTTAAAGATCATATAACCAAAGGAAAACTGGCAACAATGGCAGTGCAAGTCAACTGAGGATCCTGTTCTGTCAGGGCACACTGTACAAAACATAAGAGATTTTGTTAGAAATAGAGGGATCACACTTAAAAGGAAAACCATGGGTAAATGAATATATATTATTTTCTACAGAGGCAAAAATGCCAAGGAGAAAAAGATTGTTTATTTCTAATTTTTGGGGAGTAAAGAATTTGCCCTCGTGTTATGCACTGTTAAGTTGCAGTAAGTCTTTTGTTACAAGTTATAATAAAAAAACAATTGTTTCTATTAATATTTTAATTTCACATTAATACTTGTGCATAAGTAATCTGCATTTCATTAATCAGGAAAAAAGTCATTTTTGTTTGTGTGCTTAATCGAGGTCCAATAAAACATCACTGACCTTCTAACACAGTGAATGCACATTTTGTTGTCCTGGAAAATCATGTATGACCTCACAAACAATGTTCTGGTCGTAGGTGGGAGGTTCCCATATGCTACCATAGTGTCAGGTGGAAATGTAAAGAGCTTAATTTACTTTAGAATTAATCTGTAGTGATATCTGTGTTGTGCAAAGCAAAAGAGTTTTTTTTTATGTTTACAGGAAAGGTGGGAAGGTGGGTCCCCTAAAACCATGTTT